TTCCCCCTTGTCCTCTCCCTCCCTGCCCTTGTCCCAAGTCCCTCCCCAGCTTTCCTGGAGCCCCTTCAGGCACTGGAAGCTGCTCTAAGGTCTCCCTGGAGCCTTCTCTTCTCCAGGCTGAACACCCCAACTCTCCCAGCCTGGCTCCAGAGCAGAGCTGCTCCAGCCCTGGGATCATCTTTGTGGCCTCCTCTGGACTGTCTCCAACAGCTCCATGTCCTCCTTGTGTTGGGGAGCCCAGAACTGGACCCAGCCCTGCAGGGGGGTCTCACCAGAGTGGAGAAGGGAAGGAGAATCCCCTTCCTGGCCCTGCTGGTCACACTCCTGGTGATGCAGCACAGGACACAGTTGGTTTCTGGGCTGTGAGTGCACAGTGCTGGCTCATGGTGAGCTCCTCATCACCCAACATCCCCAAGTCCTCCTCCTCAGGACTACCCTGAATCCATTCTCCACCCAGGACACATCGTTGCTGATACATCATCAAAGCAGGGTCTGCAGCAAGATGGCAAACACAGGCAGCAGGAGGGTCCTGGCTGGGGGTTGGGAGTGACAGTGGCAAAAAGCACCAGTCTCCTCATGATGGTAGATAATTGTCGTGGATGCAGCATTTCTCTTATACCTACAGAGCTGTTTGTGTGCCCCATGGTCCCCTGAGAGCCATGAGCTGTGCTGCAGGCATCCCCATCCTCATCTGCTTGCCTGGCACGTGGCAAACCCAGGTGACTTCTGCACATCATGGATATAATTTGGTCTCTGGACTGCCAGGATCTCAGACCCCATCCTGCAGGAAGAAGGCACCAGGAAATGAAGATCTTGCTTATACAAGAAACCCTCAATAGAGGCAAATCTCTTCTCTTCCCTTCCCTGATGGGTTTTGAAGCAGTTGCAGGGGCAGCTCAACAGGTTTAATGGAAGAAAAGAAAATCAATCCTTTCCAGCTTCCAGGCCAATGGTGAGGTCTGGCCATGGACAGGCAGGAGGCAGCAGGAGCCTGGCTCCAGGGAGAGCTGGAAAGGTGACACCAGGGACACGGGAAGGAAACCACCCGTTCATTGTCCTCTGCCCTTGCTGCCCATCTTGCTCAGATCCTCCTGCCCCACGGTTGGTCATCTCACCCCTCCAGTGTGGTGGGATGCCAGGAGAGCTGGAGAGATGTTGCCTCATGGAGCCCCTTATTTTTGTGGTGACCTGTCCCCACACACCAGCCGGGCTCTGAGCCCACGGTGGGTGTCCCTGGTGTCACTCTCAGCTGGGCTCATCTCTTGGCAGGTTGTCTCTTTTATTACCACGTCCTTCACCGCCCCATGCTGGACCAGCACATCCACACCCTGCTGCTCATTGCCATCTTCTCAGGGGCCTGCAGCACCCTCCTGGAGGTTTTCCTCTGGGACAACATTGTCCTGGAATTGTTCCGAGCCGGGGTCACCATCCTCCAGGGAACGTGGTTTTGGCAGGTCAGTTCTGTCTTCTCTTGTGGAGCAAAGCACCAAGGCAGGAGAGCAATGGGAGAAAGAGGGGGGTGGAAAGCCAAGCACCACGGATCCACCACGTGTCCCTGGAGAACAATTTTGCCAGGTGGGCTTCATAGAAGAGAATGGAATCATTAAGGTGGAAGGGACCTTAAAGATTCCAGCCCCCCTGCCATGAGCAGGAACCACCAGACCAGGCTGCACAAAACCTTGTCCAACCTGGCCTTAAAAACCTCCAGGGATGGGGCATCAACAGCCTCCCTGGGCAAACCCATTCCAGTTCCTCACCACCCTTAGAGTGAAGAATTTCTTCCTAATATCTCACATAAATCTCCCCTGACTCAGTTTAAAACCATCACCCCTTGTCCTGTCACTGCCCTCTCTGGTGAAAAGCCCCTCCCCAGCTTTCCTGGAGCCCCTTCAGGCACTGGAAGCTGCTCTAAGGTCTCCCTGGAGCCTTCTCTTCTCCAGGCTGAACACCCCAACTCTCCCAGCCTGGCTCCAGAGCAGAGCTGCTCCAGCCCTCGGATTATCTTTGTGGCCTCCTCTGGACTCTCTCCCAACAGCTCCATGTCTCTCCTGTGCTGAGGGCTCCAGAGCTGGACACAGGACACCAGTGGGGGTCTCGCCAGAGCAGAGGGGCAGAATCCCCTCCTGGCCCTGCTGGCCACACTTCTTTTGTTGCAGCCCAGGACACAGTTGGCCCTCTGGGCTCTAGCACTCACTGGTGGCTCATGTCAAGCTTCTCATCTCCTCCCACTCCCAGGTCCTTCTCAGGGCTGCTCTCCAGCCATTCTCCCCCCAGCCTGGACTTATCAATGGTCCAGAATGAAAATTTACTGATCACAGGTCATCTCTGCTGAGTGCTCCTGCTGCAAGAGCTGTTTGTCCTGGCTTATGGCTCCTCTGGGGGCACCAGAACCAGGCAGTGAGCAAGCACCATGTCACAGCACCTAACCACCAAGCCCTAAGCCTCTGGCTGGCTGGGAAGGTGGGGACCCCACCAAGCAATAAAAAAGCAGCCATCTGATGGCTCTGGTGGTAGCTGGAGAAGCAAATCAGTTGGAGGTAACCAATCCCAAAACTGCTGAAAAGAAAGAGAGCTCCCCTCATCCTTCTCAGCTGTGCCACCTCAATCTGTTTATTCAGAGATTAAAAACTGGCCTGAGCTTGTCAAATGTGGAGGTTTGAGAGGGTGGGTCAGTGTCTGCAGTGCAGAGGGACAAATGTGTCTGGGGATTGTACAGAAAAAGAGACACAGCAGGCACAGACCTGCTTCGTGTGGCCTCTCATTGCATGGCTGGACTTCAAGGAGACCAGCAAAAACCCCACTGTCCCTCAGTGATGACCAAGATGGACAGAGGGGTGCTGGGGGCCTTCAGTACATTGATTTGTTGTTTCTCTCCCCCCCCC